GTATGTGGTGGTCTTTGCCACCAGCCACCATGACACACAGTGGCCATCCTGAAAAATAGTAACTGTGAGGGAGAACAAAGCAGGTGAGGGGCTCAGCTTCAGCTTGCTGGAGTGAGACCTCAAGTCTCAGGAACATCTGCTTGGCACCATTTGCCGTGGGGCAGAAGAGGGTCTGTATGTTCTGCCAACCCCCTGTGTGCAGCTGGGGGGAGTGTACTTCACTGGCAAACCTCCAGTTGTACCTGTCAGCAAGTAGAAGGTGCTGGGTCTGAGCAGAGGGACCAAGGAGGCAGAGGAGCAGTGCTGGTAACTGAGGGGACCTGTGATTGTATGGGACCTGTGAGATCACCATGTGAGTTCTGGATCTGCTGACTGTAGGAAACTTTGAGTAGGAGACTCGTGACTCATGCAAAAGGATTCAGGATCCAGGTGGCAGTAGTGGATAGACAGAGGTGTGGGTCATGCCAGTAAAAGCTGATTGTGTGCAGCAAGGCTACAGAGACCTCTAATGCATTAGGTTTTTCCACACAGAGAACAGACATAAACACCTCCAGTTGTACAGCACATTTACTCTGCATTAACACAAAAACAAAACAACAATAAAAAAACAAAAACAAACAAACAAAAAAATCAGAACCAACGCATTGAGAAATGCAGTTGCCAAACTGCAGACATGAAGAACTTTTAAAATAAGTTTGATTGAAAAACAAATTTTAATGAAACTCAGGTGCAAGAAACTCCATGTAAAGCTTGAACACATTACTAGAGAAAACAGACTAGACTAAACAGATAAATTCTGTTTAGAATAAAGCACTGGGTATTTGAGGAATATTCAACTTCTTTTTAGCAGCTGCCACTGACATTTTGGAAAGGGCTTTTTGTCAATTTTCAGTCTGTAAACAAATCTCTGTACTGTACTTCATCATTTACATCATAATTCCTAGGCAATTTATGGTGTATTCATTCACAGTGGTACACCTAAACACTTCATGGATCATCAGTTTTTATTCCTGTTGAATAGGTGATGAACCGTTGATACAGTATTTGCCAGCTCTTCTGCAAACTGTTCTACTTGCCTAATTTCCTTCATAGCTATTCAGTTCTTGGGCTCAAAAAAAAAAAAAAAGTGTTTTCAGAATTCTGAAACACAACTGATTTTCCTCAAATTTGAGTCTTACCATGGAAAACAACTCCAGCACTACAGCTTTACCTCCCAAGCAGATAATGGACAAGTGTACCCACAATAAATAAATAAACAATGCAGTAAATTCTGCTGGGTATAGTACTTTTAGTGTGTGTAGGTTTCCATGCATCCAGGTAATTTAGGTATCAAGCTTGGAAAAGCTTGAGCAAACTTGAAGAGGCTCTTCTGCCAGCCCATGATCCTTTGGCAAGACATGAACGCATCTTAGGCAATGTTTGGTGATTTCTGCTGCAAAGACTCTGCATTTTCTTGTATTGCTGTTAATGTGAACAAACTTCACCAGAGTGACACTGGTCCCAAACCACCTTCTAGAGAATAAGTTCCTCTGCCAAGCAGTATTTTGATTACTATATTCTAGTTCCATAGGTAGCAGTGCAAGCTAACACTGCAAAAAACTCAAGAAGCACTGTCATTTAAGAAGCTGGCACTCATGTTGTGGGGAAAGCAGGCTGTGTCCATGCACATCCCACAGGAGTGGGGGTATGGGATGTCTGCCTAGTGATGAAGTTCCCCAGCACGGCTGGGGTGTTTGCACAGCAGCAAAGTGCTTGGAAACATTAAGTTCCCAAGACAGACAGAGGGCTGCTGTAATTGTGTTACACGTTTTTGCCTTCCATTCCAGGGCAGGATACTGATATTCAAGATTCTTGTTGTTTGTAGCATTTCTGCTCCAGTACTTTTGATGACCTTTTTCCACTTCTCTGCTTAGGTGTGAGTTTATATCCTTGAAGCTATATTGGCAAATAATCTTGCTGCAAAAGTCCAGCACAAAACTTCTCGTGCTTTCCACATGCAACTGAAGTCCAAACCCACCACTGGACGGTATCAGAGAAGAGCCTTGCCTGCTACCAAGCTCTGGGAAGGGCCAAGTGCATTTACACTTATTTCACTATATTAAAATCAGACATACGAAATATATTTCTTGTGATGACCTAAAAAGCCCGGTGGAAAATCACAATAAGGTGTGACTGCATGCAGCTGCATATCTACTGCAATGCAACTTGAAAAGAGGGCATCTTATTTTACTCTACTGCTAATCTGAACATAATCAAAGTATCTGATTTCTACCATTTCTTTAAAAAGGCCACCTCCACAGAGAGCATGACTCCCTAGGCAACTTTTCAGAGGGGGTTAAGAGGCCACCAGGAGGAGCTATGGTTCCAAACGCCCTCTAGCAGAGAGCTGAAAACGTCAGCCAACATTTTAATCTCAGAGCTATCTGAGTAAAAACGGCAGTAGCTCTGCTCCATTTTTCTTGGGACTGCAGAAGCAGTTCCTCCTGAGTGTCCACGTGTAGAAAGCTGGTCCTCTGACCTCTTGCTGGTACTACCCAGCTGCTGCTGGGTTGGGGGGAACAGAGGGGACAATCAGCAGTGACTGATCTGGAAGGAAAAGTGAGGGATTGGAACCATTAGGTTAGTTCACAGGTATCAACCCAATCCATGAGATTGGGTATCCATGAGACCCTCAAAAACATCTTTATTCGATTACTTTGCAGAAAGACTCTCAGGATGCAGCCTCTGTAGGCACACAATCCATCACAGTTTATGTGCATCTCTATTTCTCTGACAGTCAGGTACTTGGAAACAGGCTACAAAATGAATTTCACCACCAGAACTGAATTATCCATAGTGCTACTTCAAGTCTCTGCTATTTCAGAGCATTTTATAACCACTCTTTCCTCATGCCAACCTAAGAAAAACATGGATGGCTGTTTCATTCAGCCCAGTTACCCCCACAGAGATGAAGCTCAGGAGCCACCATGGAGGAGAAAACAAAGAGAAAAGGCAGCCTGGCACTATTTTACACAGCAGCCTTGTAATGGAGAAAAGAAATGAAAATTCTGCTTCAACCACTTTCTCCCAGTGTTTGCAGTGCTCTTTGGACCTGTGCCACACTTCCATCATGCAATTCTTCAGGACAGAGGACAGCGGGAAGAGAAGTCATACCAAGATTAGCATAGACTAGCAAATGCAGTACACACTCTGGTGTGACATTCGTGTTGGCCAGATGTGCTGGTAAACAGGCAAATATGGATTGTGAGGATGATGAGACACCAGAACAGGCTGCTCAGAGAAGCTGTAGATGACCCATCCCTGGAAGAGTTCAAGGAGGGGCTTTAAGCAACCTGGTCCAGCGGAAGGTGTCCCAATGTACAGCAATGGGGTTGGAATGAGATGAACTGTTAAGGTCTCTTCCAAGGTCTCTTCCAAAACAAACTGAACCAAACTGAACCAAACCAAACCAAACCAAACCAGACCATAACATTCTATCATCCTATCTGCCCAGTTTGTCAGCCCTGCAGTGCATTTTTGTAAGTAACCTACACCTCAAAGAATCTGCTCCCTTCAGGTCACATTCAGGTCAAGGAAAAAAGCTCCAGTCCTGCCAGGTCTGTGACCAGTGAAAGATCAATCAGAGAGAGAGAGAGAGAGACAGGGGAGAAAACATAATCAGTCTGTGAAAGCCAAGGAAGCCAGAATGCATTCAGGTACTCAAAGTTTTGCAGTACTATGTGTAAGAATATACAATGGGATTGTGCTGTCTTCTACTCTAGAACAGATACATTTATTTCCCCACAACGCTCCTGATAACTGTGACACTTAGCCTCTCCTTTCTCTGTTTTCCTCAGCAAACAGAGGCTGTGTTCAGGTTCAGCCCCTCTGAAAGGTGGACAGAAATTTGAGATCAAGAGATGAAAAGCCTGTTAAGAAAGCTGGAAACATTTTTGTTCCTCCCCTAACAGGCTATGGGAAGCTATGAAAAAGAACTACTTTTTACAGGCAATGGAAAAAGCAGTGAAGTATATGTAAAGGCATAGGAAAGGAAACCTGAAGGTTTGTTGTCTCACTGGGGAAGATGACTACTATATTTGCAAGTTGCTAGTCAACACATTGGCTCTAAGTTCACCCATGGGTGAAATTTAAGATTATCGTCCCAAGCAATGAAACCCTGCTAAGAGATGGGGGTGAAATATTGCTCACAAATTGAATTAAGTGTGATCACAAGAGGATGTCCTGTACAAATACAGAAAATTCATCACCACTTCCAAGTTTCTTTACATTCAACAGTCAGCAACACATCTACTTCACACAGACAGCAAAGGCCTTAAAAAAATTTGGAAAGTCTGAGCAATGAACTCAGTAGAAAACTTGAAAGGATTTTCTAGAATTAAGTCTTAACTGTGCAAATCACCTCTTGAGAACTGACTTTGGAAGACTCCAACATTATGATTTGTGAAGCTCCCATGGAATTGGTTTCTTAAATGTACATTAATTTGCACTTTAGAGACTTGCCTGGCCACTAGAGGTTCAGGAGGGCCCATCTTAAATAGCACCAAACCAACAACAGAAACATCCTTTTCACAAGTCTTCACTGTTTTATTCTGTTGTTGGTGTTGTTGTGAACCTTTATATGTAATCTGGAGCCCTAAAAAGCAAGAATTACAAGCATTACCAGTAGAGACATAAAATACTCTCCTTCCTAGCTGTGCTTATATGATCAAAATATTCTGTTCTAATAAATAAGTCAGTGGTGTGTAAATATTTTCACAAGGCACTGAAGGTGAAAAATATGCACTTTAGTTGGGCTCAAACAGCTAAACAACAGCTATGTTATAGCGGCATTATAATCTCCCCAAAGCATTATGGGATAACAAGAAATCATTCTTCTGCAAGAGAAGGATAAATAACACTTTCATTAAAATATTTTCACCTGTACTGGGCAGGTCAAACCCGTCAACAGAATTAATGATCCGGACTCAGGAAAAGGAGGCAGTTTAAGAACACCCCAAAGAATAGGTGTCCCACTCATAGTCTTCCATTTCTTTTTTTTTTCATAAGTTCCTTTTTTTTTCATTATTTTTAAGGCAAGAGTCTTGCAGCTTGGGTCCTCCTGCGTTTCAATGAATCATCATCTTATGCAAAGTCAAAGTCAGTAGTGGAAGGAAGAGAGAATGGGAAAGCTGGTGAGCACTGCTGGTGTCTGCAGGAGCGTGACTGGACCGTCCGTGGCCCCGGGGCTGGGGCTCGACCGTGATGTATCCATTAATGATGCGGATCCGGGGAGGAGGATCAGTAGCACTGCAAGGCAAGAGAAGAGCATCAGTCCTGACCCAGCCCACAACTGCCCTACAGCCACAGAGCAGGAGGAAGTCAGCCTCTGTGATCCACTGTCAGTTTTCTGGGTCCATGCAAATGGTCTCTTGTACCAGTTACACACTGACCAAAAGTCTGTGCCTCCTAAACGGCAGGGTGCTGTCTTGTCCCTCCCTCGCACATGTAGACAGCTCCCACACCAGCCCTCAAAGACAAAGTGTTACCCAGCCAAACTGTGAAGTAGACTTGAGAGGGAACAGGGAAGAGACGGAGGAGGGTGATGACAGCACCAAAATACCTGCCCTGTCTCAAGTCTACCCAGCCTGCCCATTGCTCCCACACAGCCAAGTCCAGTGGGTAAGATGACCATACTCGTAGGCCCGGTCAGCTAAGTGAAAAATAGGTCAGAGCAAAACAAGTGTTGTTGCAGAGAACTGTCACTGCAAGGGCACTTGCTGAGCTGGAGTGAGGCATCTGTTTTCTGAGTGTATGTTCCTCAGCCATGCTCCATGCACCTTAGTGTGGACCCACTTGGTTTCTATACCGTATGATCTCTTCCACAGGTCAGGAATTACAAAGATTTACATGACATACCTCAAGCAGAGGAATAACAGCTTCCAGAAACACATCCTAGATGACCACAGTCCAGAGCATCTCACAGTGGTAGAGAGTACTCTTTGACATTGTGATGAACAAGAATTATAGCATACATGAGTTGAGCTCCCATAATGGCAACACATGATGCAGGAGAGAAATTGATGTGCTCCAGGTTGCTAACGCCAACTGACCTGAACTGTGGAAGATCATACACCACAGCAGACCAAGAGCCAGAAGGGTCAGATACTACACAGGACGTTGTTCTCTTTGGCAATGGACTGAAAGCAATGCTTGACACCACAGCTGTGCAACTGACATACCCTCCAGGACCACATGGTGCTGTGTAGAAACTGTAAACAAATCTGGACAAAACTAAAAGCAAGCCCACCTGGCAAATACTAAAACCAAGCAGTTTCTTCTGCACCCAATCCCCAGCTGCTGTGCACCATTCTTGTCTTATTTCAGTCCACTAAGCAAAAATGCTTTGGAAAATTGAAGGCAATTACTATCCTTTTAAAAAACACTTTACTCTTCCTTACCCAAAGGGCTCCCCAGAAGATCTGAACAATAGCTGGAGAGAAGCCAGCTGGCAGCACATCAAGGAAATACAGCCAGCAGCTGATGCATACAGGGGCACGAACCAAGGCCATTCTGACAAGCCCACTGCAGCACTGTTAAATCACTTGAGCTGCACCTTTCACATTTTCAAGCTCACGGGAGAAATCATAGAATTATGTAGGTTGGAAAAGACCTTTAAGGTCATCAAGCCCATCTGTAAACCTGAAAGCTGTGAATGGCCCATTTCATAGGAAACCCAGCTTTACCTGTGTCGGCACACCCTGAGGAATGTTTAGAGCGAAGGCTGAGGCTGCCATTCAGACATTCCAGGCACAGGCAAGCTGGAGCCGAGGGGCTGAATTTCCCTGGAAGGGATGCGCCGCGAGGTGGGGCTGTCAGTCCAGCCCAGCAGCAGCACGAGTGCTGTGGCAGAGCCCAGCAGAGAACCCAGGCTTTACAGAAGCCCAGCTGGGGCTCCTGTCAGAGGGAGAGCTGCTTTCCCTTGGCACTATGGGCACAGAGATCTTCCAGGCATCGTTTGTCCCTCCCAGCACTGCCATGCAACATCTCCTTCTCCAGACATTTAAGCTCTTTTCTGCTGCTACGGAGTCACCCCTACAAAGAATGCGTCACCTAGCACTGGGGTAAGTTTCTAGCACAAAGGAGGATTTAAATAGTAGTGGAAGAAAGGAAACATCAAAAGAAGAAAAGAAGAACAGCATTTTCTGCTCCCATATTTGTGCAGCAGTTTCCTAGGCTGCCATCCTTTGCTTTGCTTTTGCCTCACTACTGCCTGGCAGTACTTGAAATGTAGTATGCAGCCCTAATGTGCCTTCAATTTGGTCACAGTAGCACATCTTCCCATCTTCCCCCTTCTTCTGAAGGCTTGATACTCCAAGTGCACAAGGATCCAAGAGTCACTGCCCACCGACTTCCCCAAACTTTGTGAGAGCAACTGCATATGAAACACTGAAAGTAGAGGCAGGGTGGGAGATGAGATAGACATTCCTTAGCATCTCAGCTAAAAAGACTCTCAACAGAAACTCCAAAAATCCATTCACTTTCAGCTAGTATCAACTACATTAGTAGAAAGTAAATGGTACACTAAGAGATGGAATCAAGTGTGATCATATAGGATTTGTTACATTGGTGCATCTTGGACTGTGTGCAGATACATCAGAAAACATGTTACATGAGCATTTGTCTCCCTTTGTCTCCCAAATACTTCTACTAAGGTTGAAGGAAGGAGCAAAGAAGGAAATGTGGTCTGAAAAATCTGACAATGGCTGAATGCTTCAAACAGAACAGCTGCTGCAGTCACTTGTGGCCAGCCTGAGCCATGTATCACTCATAGCAGTGGTACAATTAGGAACCAGGGACCTGACAGGAAAGGCATAGGAGAACCCTGCATTACTCAGTAACTTGAGGAGCAGGAATAAGTATTCTTCAGAGGGGAAAGAATCCAAATAATGTACAGACTTCTTTTCAAGAACTGTCAGACTTATCCCCATCACTTCAACCATGTTTATGTTGGTTGGTTGTTTATGGTATCACAAAAATTTAATGCCTTCAGCCCAAGTATGGCAGAGATACAGACACAGAGAGTACAAAACAAAGCAGATTAGGGCATGTGTGCTGTCTGGCAGGAGGGAAACATTAAGGTATATGTTCACCACAGGCTGAAAAACTGCCTTTCTTATTTTATTTTTTTTATTAATTTTTTTTTAAGTTGCTGTAGGTAAGTAAGCCTTTTTGGATGAACAGTATGGGATATGTATGATCCTCTGCCCCACAACATACTGATTTTTTTATATAAACTCTGCCATCCAATAGGCTACCATGCTTTTTCAGGCTGAAAGGGTACAGAGATTGAAAATACTGCATGAGTATTGCCCACGTGTAAGGAGAACATATGCCAGGAATGATAGTTTCTTCATATGCAGCAGCTTTTGGATAACAGTCCAAGGCTTTGATCTGTATCATCTATCACTGGACCCAGCCTTCCATGAAAGAGAGGACTGCCATATGCTCACAATCCCTCAAACCCAAACGCAAAATGATCTAGACAAGGCTTCCACTTGTTTCATGCACAGTTTTCCACAAATCTAAGTATGGAAAGAAAAAAAAACAAACACCAAAACAAACAAACAAACTTTTTTGCCACTAAAAGCACAAGAAACTTTGTGCAAGTGCTTCAGAAATAATCACAGCAGTGAAGAAGGTCAGATCCTGTCCAGAGGATGTATCTATCACTGAGGAAGTTTGAGGGTTGGTATTAAACCTTCTAAGTTAAAGTCCAGTTTGCATGACAAGCCATCCTCCCTCTCCCCAGCCATTAGCTACCTTTCTTCAATGCGAACCCAGAGGTCATTAAAGTGTCGCAGTCCTTGCTTCTTCTGCTGCTTTTTCTTCTTCTTTTTGTACTTCCTGTCTACTTTCATGAGTACATCAATGCTGTCAGGGAATAGCAAGTGAGGCAGGAACTCTTCTTCCTCCTCTTCCTCCTCCTTCTGCGGGTGCAGTGGGAGCTCATGGGACATGACAAAGGGACTGTGTGATGATGAAAAGGCTAACAAGGTTTTGGGAGATTTTCGGCTGGAGGAAAGAGAGAACACAGATAACATTTAAAAGAGCTTTGAGGCAAAATCCTGTAACAGATACTATCAAGGCACATACATATAAGATAGCTGTTTCTCCCTGGATGCTCATTTTTCTGCCTTGTATTCCGGCTCCCTCTTCGTTAAGTCAATATTGATTTTGTGATCAAAATAGTGCTCTTCAGCAAAAAAAAAAAAAATCACTGGAAAAGAGGCAGTCTGTATCAGAGCAAAGAATGCAGTCTGGATAAGGGTGGAGTAACTCTTGGTAATAAGCTTGTGTATCTAGAAAGAGACAAAAATGGAATCACTTCCAAGTCAGAAACAAACCACACTCCTCTAGTCTGATGTACTGCAGAACACAGACCAGATTATTCCTTTCAACATTCCTGCCCAGAGCAAACTAACTTGGGGGACAAGGGGAAGGTTCAAATAAAACAAGTAAAGCACACCAGCTGATGAAGCCAGATCTGGATCAGCAACTCTCACTGGTAGAGAAGGTAAGAAACAAGCTAGCCCATGGACTGCGGTCATGGCTACAGAAACACATCTTGAAAATTGCCACCTTTGAAGGCCATCTTTGAATACCACTGACAGTAACCTGGTTGGATGCTGGACCCACAGAAGGCTGAGGTTCTCAATGGCCTCTGTATCTCAGTGCTAAATGCCAAGTGTTCCAGCCAAGCTGCCTAAGTCAGGAAAAGCAAATAGGAGTATGAAGATCCTAAGCACAATGTAGGAGAGAATTGGCTTCGAGACCATCTAAAAGGAGCCTGAATGTGCACAAGTGCATGGGGCCTGATGGGATTCATCTGTGGGTTCTAAGGGAGCTGGCAGATAAGTTTCTAAGCCACTGTTAATCATTTTTGAAAACTTGTGGCACTCAAGTAAACTTCCCAAAACCTGTAAAAAGGGAAATATAACCCTCATTTTTAAGAAGGAGAAAGTAAAAGTCCCACTTCTGTGTCAGGCAAGATCATGGAGCAGATTCTCCTGAAAACTATGAAAAACAAAGAGGTGATTGGTAGCGGCCAACATGGCTTTACCAAGGGCAACCAATGCCTGTTAAATTTTATTATCTTCTCTGATGGGGCTGCAGCATTGATGGACGTGGCAGAACAACTGCCACTGTCTGCCTGGACTGAGACAAAGTGTTTGTCACTGTCCCACATTACATCCTTGTCTCCCACCAAGACAGATATAGGCTGGATGGATGGATTGCTTGGTGGATAAAGAACTGGCTGGATGTCTGCATGCAAACAATTGTGTCCAGCAGCTCCTTGTCCACATGAAAACCAGTGATGAGTGGTCTCTCTCAGGGGCCAGTACTAGCACCATCAATGCTCAAGATCTCTGTCAGTGACATCTGTCAGTGACACAGACAGTGGGATCAAAGGCACTCTCAGCAAGTTTGGCATGAACACCAAGCACTGTGGGCAGGGATGCTGAAGGGACTTGGGGTGATGGTTAATGAAAAACACAACATGACCCAGAAATGTGCCCTCACAGCCCAGAAAGCCAATGGGATCCTGAACTGCATCCAAAGCAGCGTGGGCAGCAGGGGAGGGAGGGGATTCTGCCCCTCTGCTCTGCTCTGGTGAGACCCCACCTGGAACCCTGCATCCGGCTCTGGGATCCTCAGCATAAAAAGGGCATGGACTTGCTGGAGTGAGTCCAGAGGAGGCCACCACATTGCTAAGAGGACTGGACCACCTCCAAATCAAGACAGAAGACAGACTGAGAAAGCTGTGGAGAAATTCTGGAGAAACCTGTGTAGAGAACTCATAGCAACTTCCCAGTATCTGAAGGATCCTACAGGGAAGCTGGAGAGGGACTCTTTGTGAGGAATTGTAGTGACAGAAGTAACAGATATAATCTGAAGAAGGGATGAATTTAGGCCAGGAAGAAATTCTTTACTGTGAGGGGGGGTGAAATACTGGAATATGTTGCCCAGGGAAGTTGTGATGCCCCAACCCTGGCAGTTTCCAAAGCCAGTTTGCATAAGACCTTGAGCAAACTGGTCTAGTGGGAGATGTCCCTGCCCATGGCAGGGGGATTAGGATTAGATGATCTTTGAAGTCCTTTCCAATCCCTAACATTCTATGATTCCATGATTAAGGAATCCTTTGGGCCATCTAGACTGCATTCACTGAAAGCAGACTAGTTTTGGCATCACCAAGTTCACTCTCTTCTCATTTTCTTTTTGATGAGGGCAGATGATTCAAAGCAGTGAATGCCTGTACAAAATACTGCATCAGAGGATGTCTCACACATGAGAGACCAGAGCTCAACACACCATTGTGGCACTGGCTCCCAGTGCTGATCTGCAAAAGGATGTAATACTGTCTTGACACTCAGATAAAGCAAACCAAGGAACATGAGATGGTGGTCTTAGTGGGTTTTACAGATAAGTACGGAGGTCTACATGAAGGGGAGGAAACTGAGAAACTGCATCTCTCTCATAAGCAGAACCAGGTTTTGCATACATGTATAGCAAGTAACAAGGAGTGGAAGTCAGGCATTAGCCTTCTAGATGCACAGAGCCGGTATCAGGCTGCCAGCATTATTGGGAATTTCAAAGGAGCTCCAGCAAGTGAGATACGTTACTGAGACTATGTGCATGTACAAACTGTCTTACAAGACAAATCTTGGAAACCCAAAGTTGAGCTTCCAGAAAAAAGCTCTCAGGGCTATGACTACTCAGCTTCCTGCAAAACTGAATAAAACAACAATCAGTTCCACTCTGATTACTGAAGCTCTGTTTCTTTATTCTTAGAGCAAGCAACATCTCATCTGTACTCTAAGGCAGGCAGACTGAAGTGTCCTATTTACTCATGGCTTTGCTGGCCCACATTTCTCATTGTTTGGAACAGTTTTCCCTCTTTATTTGTTTATGAGCATCTTGGACAAAAACACAAACTCAAACCACTCTGTGTATACAGAGAACCTAGCAAGAATATCTGACTGATCTTTATGGCTACTTCATAAAGAGAAGAGATGCAACAGTCTTCTGTAATGAAAGTGCAGACTGGCTTGGGCTTAAATTCAGAAAAGTAACCAAAAACCACAGACCACCAAGCAGAAACCTGCCTTTAATCAGTGTAACTTTCCCAGAACTGTGCTCCTGTTTTAGCTTCCAATGGCACGAAAAGGAGGTGGTTTGGAAGGAGACATATTTCAGCATGGGTGCAGTTTTCAAACTAGCCCATCACTGTATGCACACTTATTTGATAAGCAAATAGAGAGTAGTTCCTGGAGAAGGGGAACTGAAGTTGTGGACTAGAACATCAAGAGAGCAGATGGAAAACAAAGAAAATTTGTCTTATTTGCTGCAAGGAAAATCAGAATGATCACATGTTGAAGTTTATATGAGAGAGACTGCTGCAGAATGGACCTTAGATTATCAACCTCATTCAAAATCATTGATGGTTCACCAAAACCTTATTGGTACCTACAAACAGATAGGAACATACTTCACAAGGGACTTTTTGTTTAGCCAGAGTACAGAAAGAGGCAGACTGTGCTGCTACAGTGAAACATTATGTTGCAGGGAAAGGAGATGACTGCAGACTTCTTCCTATTGTATTTGTATTTTAGGACCTCTCAACTAATATTCCTACTATCTGACACTACAGTAGTCATTTAAATCCTCTGCCTCAGTCCAACCACTTGCATTTTTATCCTGTCTCAATTATGAACAGTGAAATAGTCCACAGGTACTGACTGGACTGTGTGCAGACAGACTACCTATTAAGCTATCTTTCTTTAAGCTTTAAGAAGCTGCTGTAGCTGTTTTTAGGAATACCTACTGAAAGAAAAAAACAACATGAAAATTTCAGTTCAGGCTGTTTTGGGGTTGGTTTTATTTTCTTTTTTTTTAATCATCCCTGTACACACTGATACACTGGATTTTCTAGCACAACTCAAGTGTTATAGAATCATTAAGTCTTGTGCTTAAGCACAGGTGCTTATCATTGTCAGACTACCTGTCTACTGGCAGAAACAGGGTCAGGGGCTGGCATTCATATTATCATGGGCTAAATCTTGGATCAGTTTTTTCCAGTGCATGTAGAGTTAATGATGCATGTCCATGTCAAGAATCACTGCAGAAACATGACATACCAGAATTTCAATCTCATGTTTTCAGACAACAGCAAAGGTGGTATAAAGAGAAAGACGAACAATCAGAGCATGAGAAAAAGAGCTATTACTAATTTGCACCACACTAGTAGAGCCCTTCGCACAGACCAAGACTCAACACTGTGCTCTCTGCACAAATCCTATCAAAAGGTGGTAGTCCTGCCTGAGAGTCCAAGATCAGAAACACTGGGGAGGAGGGACAGAGATGTAAACAGGAACACTATGCCCGGTACAGAAGATAAAAGGTAAACAGTACCGTAATGAGGATTAGCTTCTAATTTTCTCCTTTGTGATTTTTTAGCAGTGAAGAGCAAACATATCTGACAGCTACATGTTTGGTAGGAGTCTGGAGAAGGGGAAAGCATAGATTGCAGACCCTTCCAGATTCAGAATTGCAGGAAGAGGTAAGTCAAAGCAGAAGTAATTCTCGGTAGAGAGTGGAGGAGGAGATTATCTGGAATTCTGTAGTTACTGAAACCATGGAGGTGGATAAAAGCATCCAGTGAGAGATAAAAAGAGGCAGAAGGGGTATATCCCAAAGGACAGCTGCAGGATGAACCAGAACAACAAGTACCTTAGCTTAAAAATGCAGAAGAAAGCAGGGGACATGAGAGCAATCAGTCATAAAGACAGCTTGCAAAGACTCTGGGCTATCAGATGCCAGGCTGGGAGAAAGTAAACAGAAAGAATAAAAAATAGCAGTATGAAAGAAGGGGATTATTAAAGGGCCAGGAACTCAAACATATGAAAGAGAGGAAAGAGAAACCTGGAAGCCTGTGTGGTACAAGACAGCATCCAGATCTGATGAACCAAGTATGCATTCTCTGTGTCTGTTCATTTAAGAGTTAAAAAGCCTTAAGGGTGGAAATTTTACTAACAACAACAAGAACAGCAACAAAACAAAAATACCAAAAAAACCCAACCAAACAAAAAACAAACTGAAAACGCCAAAAACAAAAAAAAGAAAATCCCACAACCACATAAAAACCACTGCAAAACCAAGAACAACAAACCAACAAACCAACCCCCCCAACCCCAACAACAAAAGACAAAAAACCAAACAAAAAAACCCCAAACAACCCCTCCAAAACAAAATCAAACAAAACTCCCTTTTCAAACTAGCTCATGGAAGAGAAAAGTAAACTGCTGGGAAGCAGAGAAAAAGCCTAGCTCACTCTTAGTTACAGTTCCAGCTATCATTCCAAACTTCCCAATTGTTTAAAAATCCACCTCCCCAATGGCTGCTCAGCTAGGTAAAAGTATGCATTACTTGTTGATGGCTTGTCCAGCTGGAGTGTGTTCTACCTCGTACCCTTCTCTCCTCAAAACATCAATCACTGTGTTGTTGCCCATGAAGTGACCTGCAGTGAAAAGAAAAATGACATCAGAACTCAGCAACCACATGGAAAGAGGGAGAAGAACAACCAAGGCCTTCCTCATCACAGGAGGTGTGCCACACTCAAGGCAGGCAGGGCTTTATCACTCCCCACCAACATGCACCAGAAACACAGGATCTCTTAACAAGTGATTGCTGAACTGTCCCAAGGTCACTTCAATTACTACATCCTGCCTTTCTAAAATGCAGATGTGATTGCAATTACTCTGGCCCCACAGGTAGCTGCATAATGGGCCTGCCCACGGAAGTGGTGGAGTCACCATCCCTGGAAGCGTTGAAGGAAAGACTGAATGTGTCCCTTAGTGCCATGGTCTAGTTGGTATGGTGGTGATTGGTCAAAGGTTGCACTTATAATCTCAGAGGTCTTTTTCAACCTAACTGACTCTGTGATTATCAGGCCATTGTGGATTACTTGAGGAAATAAGAGATCAAGTTTGGACACCCCTGTTCAAGAGCAGCAGTGAGTCTACGACTGGTGGTGATGCAAAGAAGGTCAGAATCTGGTCGCATTTTAACAAACTCATAATGACACAGAGCTGTTGCTCAATATCACTAACAATTTTTAAATGATTAAGAATAATCCAACTGCAAAGAAAAGAAAATCACCCTAAAAAAAACCCCAATGACTTAGACCAACCTCTTTCATTTCTTCATTATATGCCACTGGGGCAAGACTTGACTTCATGTCCATATGACTTCATATCCATGTTGATAAATGGACTCAGTTTTGGACAGACTTATATAGTTCTACCCTAATTCTGTGATTTACATTTCTGTCCATTCTCAGACAGATGTGGTAGCTGGTAAGATTGTATTTTGGCATCACAGTGAATAAATGACTACTCAAAGGCTGTAGGAGCTTTCCTGACTGGATGCTCTGCTCAAAGAATGTCTTCCAACATCACTTTAACATATCATCAGACCAGGCTGCTGAGAAGCAAAAGAAAAAGAGAACAAAGAGAGAGCAAAGAGCTTGCACACTTCATCAGTTCCAGCTAGATCCAGCTTTCATAAAACATTTCTTAATTTAACAGCCCACATAAATTAAAATTGGCCTCTGGCAAATTACTATTAGAGTGATCCCTTGCTTCTGTAGCTGTACACAGCTGTACACCGTGCTAAAACTGTTAAGTCCAGAAAAACAGTTTTATACTGTTCATACATGGCAATAGAACCAACAGAGTAATTCTAGTAGCCAGGGAGAGTAAGAAGTTATAAAGAGAATTCTAACAGTGCTGAGAATATCAGGAGAGTAAACATAAGGGATTCATGACTTTTTATTCTAAAAGAGGTTGAATGAATTGGAGCACAAAAATTCTATTTTCTCATGCAAAGTGCTTATGATGTACCAGCTTAAGGCATGAGTTGGATGGTACCATTTGAGCACATGAACTTTCCCCCAGAGCCTTAGAGCATAAACAAATCTAGGTCAAATCTTTTATCTGAATACTGCAACACATACCCATTGGGTACCATATTTTCTCACACAGTATTTGGATTTTGCCCCGCTTCCTCAGATTAAATTTTGTCTTCAGGAGTAAAGCTTATGTACCATTATGCTGACCTAACCTAATACTGTTGGTAACTGCTGCTTCCCAATGGCTCAGCTCCAGGTACAATTAACCAAGAATTCTCTCATGTCAGCAAAAAAGATCAGATACAACCGGGAACAGAAATTACTGCAGTGAAATATTGCAATTGAGTAACATTAGCTACTGTAAAACAAACACCAGGTATATAAGATGCTAGACCTAGTTTCCACCTCTCACCTTTTAACACAGAGGAAGGGGTGCTTCCAATGGGTGATCCAACCCTTGTAAATGACAGGGAGGTAAGACAACTTGGACTTGTAGAGAAGCTCCCCTCAACTGACAAGAATAGAGGCAAGTATATATTTCAAGTTCAGATGAGGCATTCACCTCATGCAGGCAATGACACGTGGACCAAATCCCATCTTCAGAACTGAAAACAGTGCCAAGTCTCTGAACTCATATTTTCCTAATCTGAATCTTTCAGGAGGAAATGGACAAGGCATATAGATAAGCAACCTATAGGACAGTATATGGTCTTAAAATAATTTTCCTTAGGCAAGTTTAAGAGCTTACAGTTATATGCATTTCAGGAGTGAGCTACTGAATAGCTGCTCACACCACACCATTAAACATACTACTACTCCATCAATCTTCAGTCATCCTTGCTCAGAGCAGTGATTTAGAGTGGAATGTAGGAAATCACTGTAGCACATGGATGAATCCCATTTCAGTCAGTCATCCTGCTTGAGTGATTTTCTGTAGCTGGGCTCTTTAATTTTAATTTAATTTAATGCAGTGATAAGAATATCTTTTTTATCACAGTTACCCGTACACAGTTTCACAGAGTGCCTTTGCTCATTGTTGCCAAGGCAATGAGTTATGTCTGCACATAAGAGAAAAATGATGTGCTAATACTGTGCCAAAGAGAACAGACTAAATGAATGTGTAAAACAGATGCATACAAATACAAAGAGGCACATGATATTAGATTGTTCACGAGACATGATCAATCAGGAGCCGCTCAGACTAGGTATGTAAAGGGTTAGGTGATGCAGTATGCGCTATACAAAAAGTGTGCCATTCACGCTCTGCAAGACAGAGCTTGTTTGTGGCCCAGAGGATCTACAGGTACAACTAAGTGAGATGCTAAATTTAAAAAGGCAGAAGGGTGAGGCTTTGAGGTACAGGATCCCACCAGAAACCTCTCTAGAGTCAGAACTTTTGACTTATTACAGGGGACAACCACAAAGAGCACTTGCTGGTATATGAGACATCAGATTGCCAAAAACAACAGTAAGAAACACAAGAAAGATTCTCTCTCCAAGATTCACTGCTCCAAAATCAAGCAGCTATTGCTGCAAGGGGGACTTAGATGACAAATCACGTGAGAGGGTGCAGGCCTCTTTCACCTGTTTTCTGTTTCAGCCTAACACACTTGAATGCTCCCCAAAAGAAAGGCCCTGGGCCCTGTCCCATCAGAAAGCCTGCTCTTTTCTCTCTGTACATAGCCCTGCATTATCCTCACACCACTAGGTGAAGAGATGCATCCAAGAGGTCAATTTACTCTGGCAGGGGGTGGGGAGTCATGAATCTTTATTCTTCTGTGTTCAAGCTCAAAGAGAAACTAAGAAGCTGTTGTGTGGACCAGCTCAGCCATGCACTCTACTGGAGAGTAAATAAGGCCCAGGCCTTTAATCTGCACTGAAAGGAGATGGCACACAGGGACCACAACAGGCAATATGCTCAAAGAACAACGCAGTTTAACCAATGTGCACTTGCAGACTCGACCACGCATTGTGTGCTTCTGAGCTTCCCCAGTAGCCATACCCAATCCGGCAGAACACGGGCTGCTACTGCTGCCCTGAAACCTGTGTCTCCTGATTGCAGCTTTTACTGTCAGCACATGCAGAGCTGCCTCTAAAACCCTGTCAGATTAGGGAAGTTTTTATCTAGATGACTGTGGCTTTCAGCAGAGATTGCTGAACCCAAATTTGAGCCATTGTGAGTCTGAAATACTTCTGCATCTAGCGAAAGGAACTAGGAAATATTGCAAAACAAAGGTTCTGTTTCCATTGCTAAATTTTAATTTTTCACAGAAACCAAATCTGTAAGACTCAAGAAAACTATACTCCTCTCTGAATTTCAATAAAATCGACTATTCCAAGCTGATAAATAAAGTTCTTTGACCTCTTAGAATTATGTAAAAGGAAACCCCCAAGTATACATAATTCTGTGCTTTCTTTAGTAGGAAAATGGCACTTCCCATCCACCCCAAAAGCATGTGAAGACCTCACCATTTACAAACATCCCAAGACAATGAATCACTGGACATACAGGTAAGGACACCAAACTGTTTGTTAGGAAACCTGATCTTGACTGCTGACTTCCAAGACGTTGTGGGAACAGCTAAAGCACAGAATTATAGCACTGCAATCACAAAACAGCACAAATTAGTCCAGCCACTGGGGACATCATAAAGCTGGATGTTTATTTGGACTGCAAGCCCTCAAATGGACTTTTGGTGCCAGATACCCTATGGGTCATTAAAACAAAGATTTTCAAGAAAGTTTTAGAGGTATGGATCTTACAATTATTAGAAACTTCCTGGAAATGCCTATGGCAATTATCAAATCCTTCCATTCTTCATAACTTTGCCTTTAACATAAACATAATTATACTTTTTAAGTACACATCAGCATGCAGAACTTGGAGTAATTTTAACCCAGCTAGAACAATTAGGGAGGAAACAAACTAGACAAAATATTTATTATGCTCCAAAGCAAAAGAAGGAAAGCAGGTGATGTGATCAATTAAATTACAAATCAGTTTCCTTCATATATATTCTTTCTGCACACACTTTTCAAGAGTAAGACACTGTTTTCAAGCATGAGTACGATGCACCCAGGTGTAGTGAGCTCTCTGTTCACTTCTCCCAGAATCAGGAGGAGGAAAATTTGCACAGTTACCTTAGATAATCCAAGCAACATACGAAAAACAGGGATCAGTCGTAAGTGGCTGAAATTCCAAATTTGGCATTTAAGTGCATCAAATGCAAAACATGTAATACCAAATCCAGTAAATTCTTGTTTCTTACAGTATTTCCAAGTCCAGAAAAGTCCACATACCAGACAGAAACCAAAGGACAAAGAGCTTGGTACTCTCACAAATTTAGTACTGCAGAAAGAGGGAAATGACAAAAATTGAAGGGAATGAGGTGCACCAGTAATGCTGTAAGTCAGCGTGAAGAACCCCTGAATTCACAATAGGTGTAGGGGTATAAGGAAGTTGCATTAAAATACTTCTGCAGGCTTGCAAGTCAAATCCCATACAAACAGCCCTCCCATGCCCTCCTGTATTTTTCAGACTGCAGACCTCCAAACAAAATTCTTTCTGTGATTACCTACAAGATGAAGTATTAATGAAATATTATTCC